ATATTAATTAATTAGGTTCGCACCAACACTTGCTCAGTTAGTCACACAGTTCGTAAATATGCCACTGCAAAACCTAGCAGGCCATACTGGGTGATGGCTTTGTATTATTCTGACAACTGCGTGGTTATATATATATATATATTTTAATTCATCAACTATTTCTAACTTATTATACATCTATGTTAGTTTGATGTTGCTTTTGATAGTGTTTGCAATTTGCAAGAAATCAGTGTTTTAAAAACGGTATGTTGAGATGAGAGTAAATAAACAATTAAAATGGTTTGTAACATAATATTATACTCATAGAATAAGGAGAAGCCTCTCACATTGGAAGAAATTAAGTGCAATATAAACTTGTTGAAGGGTAAACTTATGGTAAATAATGCATTATTTTTACCAGCATAAGTTAACTCAAGATTTTCATGTAACATTACTCACTATTTTTTCAAGAATGGTACATCAGCACTTTACCAACAATTGGTTACTTTTCTAAACTAAATACCTGAATCTGATTTAACCTGGGAAGAACCTTTAGCTAGCCAAGTTATTAAGTGATGAATCAAGTATAGTGGAACGTTTATCAAAAAAACAGCAAAAGAAATTTAAGGTATATATAAAAGTCAGAACTAACCTTAAGACTAGACCCTGAGTAGGTGTTATAATCAACTAATTTTAATTTGTTTTAATGCTAGAAACTGGTCAAAAATATGGTACCTTCAACATTCCCTTCAAGTATACAAGAAAAATGTTACAAGTTTGTATTAGACTTCAGAACTTGAAGTATATATAGATTACAACTGGGTTTAACACATAATGGAAATTGGAAAGAGAGTGATGGAAAGCTAACAGAAGTCGCAATGAAAATTTTAGATGTGTTAAAAATTATTTGGTATAATCCGGCTTTCGGTCCTGAATATTTCTTCTGTCATCATTAAGTCTTGGGAATAATTTACAGGAGAATTAAAATAATTTTCTTTATTTATAATTCTATTAAAGATTGTATCAATAATAATATAATTGTTTTCTTGTAGTGGGCAGGAAATTAGATCATACCAAAAGCAAGTTGTTAATATTAAAATAATTGTATGATAAATTACTTGAAATTCATTTATTGTAATTTGCTAACATTTTATCAGCTACATCTCTTTTCATTTCTGCTGAGTATCCCCAATATTATATGTTGTTAAGTATATAAATATAATTGGATTTTGGTGAAAATAAGTTGTGAAATCAACCCCC